CACGTGGTAAAGTTTGTTTTCCTCTAGACACCAAGGAAAGTACGGAAAAATTGAAAAAAGACCATGAAAAATGCAATTTTCCGAGCTGGTTGAAGTTTGGAACATTCCTGGAGCGATTTTTAAAAAATGATTTGTCGCTCTTGTCCTTTTGCAGAGAGGAAGTTTCGAGACTAACAAACAAAGTACAAAAGAAACCGATCCGATACATGCGTCGGAAGACACCCTTATACCCGAAAACCACCCCCAAAATCATTTAAACGATTCTCGCCAAGCTAAAAATGATTTGTCGCTCTTCTCCTTTTGCATAGAGGAAGTTTTGAGGCTCTCACATGACATACAAAAAAGACCGATTCCGACGCATGTATCGGATCGTACTTTTTGTCATGTCGTATGAGGGCCTCAGAACTTTCTGTATGCCAAAGGAGAAGAGCGACAAGTTATTTTTTGCTAGGCGAGAATTTTTTAGGCACTTTGAGGTGGTTTTTTGTGTATAAGGGTGTCTTCCGACACATGTATCGAATCGGTCTTTTTTGTATGTCATGTGAGGGCCTCAAAACTTCCTCTATACAAAAGGAGAAGAGCGACAAATCATTTCTAGCTTGGCGAGAATCGTTTAAGTGATTTTGGGGGTGGTTTTTCGGGTATATAGATGTCTTCCGACGCATGTATCGGATCGGTCTTTTTTGTATGTCATGTGAGGGCCTCAGAACTTGCAAAAGGACAAGAGCGACAAATCATTTTTTAAAAATCGCTGCAGGAATGTTCCAAGCTTCAACCAGCTCGGAAAATTCCATTTTTCATGGTCTTTTTTCAATTTTTTCATACTTTCCCCGGTGTCTAGAAGAAAACAAACTTTACCACGTGTTTCTACGGTATAAAATCTATAAGAAACTATGTGTCGTTTTGGTTCCACATCATGGGCCAAAATTGACCTATATTTAACATCCTCCTTTCAGATATAGTCATACGCAATTGTATATGATTTTGTATAAACGTGAAATTCTGGCTAATTGTGTCACTTTTTCCTTAATTTTACTTAATGCCTTGATTTAGAAATATTTACTTTTCTAAAAGTTTCTATACCTTTTTCTTATCGCGCGCGTGCATGCAAGAGAGAAATATAAACAAAATAAAATAAAAAAACACTATTTTACATTTATAAGAGATATATGTTATTTATTGTATTTCTAAATAATATGAGAAAAATAAATAACATGAGATATAAAATACATTTTATGAGTAATACAAATAGTTCGAAAATTAGTGCTTGAGGTATTTAAAGAAGAGATTTTTAAACAAGGACCTCATTAAGTCACTTTTACTGCCCATACAGCACGGAACATTGCAATTACATTGCAGCAATGTTACAATCTTGCAAGTTGCAATGTAATATTTATGTTTTGTTGAGACATTATTGCAACCTGTAATTGTAATATTTCATGAGAATGTGACAGCAACATTGCAATAACATTGCAATAGCAATATTCGGTAATCGCTAGTTCGTTCGTTTACCGCTATGCAACGCGCGTTGCAAAATCTATCTCGTATTTAAGTTTTAGTCATGATGATTATATGAAACTTGCAAAGAGTGGCTAGTAAGATTAAAGACATAGTAATTATTTTTACCAGTTTAATTTTTCTGATACAACCTCAACACAGGGAATTCAGATATTGAACTGATTGTTCAAAAATCGGACAGATAAATGTCCGAATAAATAAAAATATATGCAACATTATTCTAAGATTGCAATAACAATGCATTATTGCAAATTCATTGCATTGCAATATTACTGTAATATTTCGTTACAATCTTCCTAAAAGCGGACATTTTAACGTTGCTGCAATCCCACAGCAATGATGCAACAACATTTTGCAGTAAATTTGCAATATTGCAACATTGCGATGAAAAATTGATGCAATGTGTATGCAATCTTTGTGTGCTTTATAGGTATATATATATATATGATGTGATGTATGTATGATTACTTTATGTTTGATGTACTTTGATGTACTTGTATGATGTACTTTATGTTTGCGCAATAAAAACACAACAAAATAAAACAAGAAAATGTATATTTACTCATACACACCTTTATATAATCATATATAAATATATATATTTATATTCATTTATATATAGGTGTATCTATTTATGTATGGACAAATTCGGTATATAATTTTGTATAATTAGATATGTACTATTTTTGTCTAATTATGTATGAGAAATTTTTTACCGGGAGTGAATATGCTATATAAAACTGCTGTATAATAATTCAAAATTATTTAGTTTGAGCGTCAAAAAATTGTCAAGTAGCGTTCAAAGATTAACAAGATTTTGTTTTATAAATAAAGATATAATATTTTAAGTGGAAATTTCTACAAACGTGTTTAGAATATATTTTTTGATCTTCCTCGAATGATGCCTGGATCTATTCAGATCCAGGAAAAGACACCAGATTGCATTTGACGACAAGCGTCTTATTTAGAGCGATAAATAGGTGAGTGTATCTTGAACTGTATCTTGTAGTGTATTTCAAAAGCGTATCTTCTAACAGAGTTTATTGTGACTTTGAAAAGAAATATTTAATTGTTTGAAAGGTATATTTTATTTTATTGAAATAAACATTATTTTTTAACAGTATTTTTATCGTAAATAACAGTATTTATTTATACCAAAACTAATCTTAGAAATAAAAAAGTTAGTCAATATTTTTTTTAATATCATAAATATACGATAATATTATTTTATGTAGAGATGTTTATGAATAAATAAATATAACTAGTTTTTAAATAACTCTTTATGTGCAGTTTTTATAAGGCTTTCTACATTGATAAATTATTAAAATGACAGGAAGGGTCTCAACTGCCTACATTCCCATTTGCCAACAGCTTCGTTTGCCCACAACATTTTGCCGACAGCTCCAATTGCCGACATTCCCGATTGCCCCTACGGGACGAAGCTTCTCCCCCACGTAAAACAAATAACAAATCCTATTCAGGTTATACCTAACAAGGTAAGCCTAACAAGGTTAACCAAGGTTCACAAACAAAGTTGTAAACCCATGTTGAACCTCGTTTTGCATGGAAAGAATATGCGCAATAATATTATGTGTGCAATATGTATGTGCGCAATAATGTCATGTGCGCAACGTGTATGTGTGCAATAATGTCTTGTATGCAAACGTACGTTTGTATTTTTAATTTTTAAATGTGCGCAATAATATTATGTGTGCAATGTGTATGTGCGCAATAATATTATGTGTGCAATGTGTATGTGCGCAATAATGTCATGTGTGCAATGTGTACGTGCGCAATAATGTCATGTGTGCAATGTGTATGTGTGCAATAATGTCTTGTGTGCAAACGTACGTTTGTATTTTTAATTTTTAAATGTGCGCAATAGTGCTTGTAGGCAATCGCTCTGTAGGCAATCGGGAATGTCGGCAATTGAAGCTGTCAGCAAAATGTTGTGGGCAAACGAAGCTGTTGGCAAATGGGAATGTAGGCAGTTAAGACCCTCCCTATATATATATGTGTATAGGTTAAATTATTGTATATCTACAGATTCTTTAATATCGAAGATATTTATTTAATGTAAAACGAGATACAGAAATGCGTCAAACAATTGTACTTTGTTTGTAAAAACGCGTCGTTGTTTTTTGACGTTCACTCGTCAATGGACGTCACGGACGTTATCTCTAAAAGACGACTGTCATTATCGGTCAAAAGCAACTTTCAAAACAGAAGACTTAATGATTCGAACTAACACCAGCTGCCGATATACCCCTGTTATTCGACATATATTGACGCGCATCGATATATGAGATCTTTCTACATATCCAATGTTATAAATGAAATGCATATTGTATGTATAAAAATATTATGTTAAACAAATCTTAAAAATGTATATATTATTCATAATAAATAAATGTATAATATAAAATGTTAAATATAAAATAATTAATATACAAGGCTCTAGTGATTGACAAAATCAAATAAAATTCAATAGGAGCGTATAGAGCCACAATGCAGGTTATTCGTGCGAAGGTTACAGTACATTCATTTAAAATTATTTACATTTACAAACGTTTCTGCCTGACATCAAACTTTCTTCAGTGTACAATACTAAACGAAAGAATCGCACGCAGTGATTACATAGATAATATAATGTGGAAGAAGTGTTCAATCCATTTCAACCAAAATGTTGTTCAGTACATTAAAAAAATTAGGATTATGATAATTACATGTAAAAAGTAAACTCATCCACGCAGAAGGAACGAGGTGAAAGAGTGAAACTATTAGACTTGCTGGATACTTAATAAAATATAAATGATCTACATACATTATCATACATTAAATATATGTCAGTATATAACAAAAAAATTAATTAAATTATATGCTTATTATATGTACAACATAAAAAATTATATGCACAATGTGCACTGTACACTATGTATAATACACTAATAACGTCATATTCAATATGTATTTACAATAACTTTTTTTATTTAATGTATCAATTGCTATGCAATTGTGATGCCAGTTCGAGTCCGCTACTAGCACCTAGGTCACCAGAAGAGACACACACACAAGCGAAAACCGTGTCCGTGTGCGCTTCGTGCACGACTCTGCTATACTATATATAAGAGACTGTCTTGTATTGACATCCAACAGAAATTTAATATCAGTGACAGTGTCGAAATCGCTACATTGAAACTGTTAAAAAATATTTGTAGTTATATATTTCAACGATAATATACATCCATTCGTGATTAATATTTTGTGCACTTCCCTTGTTAAAAATTTTTATAAATATGTAAATATATCTAATTTTAAATATCCTTTTTATGTAATTTAGTGAATGTTCTTTTTTATGTTAAGAAATTACTAAATTACTTACCTTTTTTAGATATTACGTAACTCGTATTGATATTCAGGACCAATAAAAAACCCAAAGAAGAAATAAAAGAAAAATTTTCAAAATTGTAATTTCAATAAAAATGGTTATCACTTTACTGCTATCATGTATCTTTCTCATATTGCTGTGCCATTACCTTATTCATCATGGAAGATTTTGGCAACTTATCGATCAAATACCAGGACCACCGCCGCTTTTAATAATCGGCAATGCTCTTTTGTGGTGCACCTGTTCAGTTGGCAAGTAAAATTATGTACATTTACAGATTAATGAATAGCATATAAGTATTGTGTAAAAAATGTTTCTTAGTAAGATACAAAGATATCAACAGTATAGATGGTTTGATTGCAGAAAATTTTATCGATAACATGTACATATAATGATAATCATAAAATTATCAAGTGTAATAATATATATTACATTAGGTATATTTTTAGAAGTTATAAAAAATACTCAATTAGATTTACTTTTATTTTTTATGTAATGATATTTATTAGTTTTTATTATTATACATTTTTATTTTCATTTTTCACTTTATTTAAGTATACATTAGTAAAAAGTTATAACGCAAAAATTCAAATAATTGTACTGTAATACTTGTACTAGAAGTCATAACAGTAAACAAGATAAGATTTATTTTATAATCAATCAATGGCGTGCATATATGGAAATAATTGATTGTAGCCCTTTAATAATTATGCAAATTAGTTACTATTTTCTTAAATTTGAATTTCCAGAAGAGCAATTGAAGATTCTGGAAAAATACCTTAAGATTTATCATCCTGTTGCTAAGGTGTGGACTTTCAATATTGCAGGTGTTCTTGCTAGTCATCCTGATGACGTGCAGGTAAAAGAGACATTTATAGATAAGCAAATTTTTATTATTTAAAAATTTTTAAATTTTATTAAATATTATTTTCTTTTAATTATTTATTTCTTTGATATTTTGTGTATATATGTTGGTGTTTGTTGTTCAGATGATATAAAGATAGAAGAGTATTAAGATATATATATATACAGAGTGAGGAAAAAATACCGGGATCCCGAAATATATAAGTTTTATAGAAAACTGTTTCAGATAAAAGTTGTAAGAGAGAAAGAGAATGAGGCAACGCGCTCAACGCGCTTCTTTCTCTCTCACTGTACTGTAACTTTCAATCCTCAAAAAGTTTAAGAACTCGAAAAGTTCTTAATAAAAAATAACTTTATTATAGTGTTTTGAAAAGCTCTTCAGATCGATTATAAGAATGTGCAATAAAAAATAGAGAGTTCCGTTTAAAAAAGTCAAGGTAACCTTATCCTGATCTTGACGACGCCACCCAAGGTCAAACTGATAAGATCAATAAATGGATCTTTTTAAACCCTACAACTTTTATTTGAAACAGTTTTTTATAAAACTTATATTTTTGGAGATATTTCGGGGTCCCGGTATTTTTTCCTCACCCTGCATGTTTACGTATATGTATGTATATACTACTCCTATAATTAAGGGATCACGAAAAATTGTTTTAAAAAGAAGCAATTTTTAAGGTAGTTGTCTCGTAACAGTATGATTTAAAAGTTAAGTCTTTCATTAAAAAAAAATTCAAACAATAAAGTTTAGAGATACATTATATTACATGTTATTTAATTTATTATACGAATAATTTATTACTAAAAAGGGTCAATCGAAAGTTTGATAATAATTTAAAAGTAGTTAATAAATTAATTTCTTGCGCTTGCTAGAGTAAACTTTTGGTTGAATTAAGTTAGATTTTTTTAGGGACTTCTGATAATTTCTTCAGTATTCGGTCCCGGCGGACTAATCATTTGGCCTCCTACGTTCTCAAAATTAACGTTAAAATTTTTATAAGAAATTATCATGCGAGGAAAACGTAAAAATATATTTAAGATAAATTATACAAACGTAACATGATTCCTATTATTATATTAAAGTTTTATAAATGGTAAATAATACCGATATTTATAGTTTGTATTTGGAATTGTGCGTTTACCATGTAATACAAATAAAAGTTCTTTAAAAAATAATTAACTTTATTTAACATTTTCTTAGACATAACTGTGTAATAACAATTACATTTGTAGCAAATTTACACACAAATTATATTCCATTGTTGCACTTTTTAATTCAAATATAATTATTTAATATAATTTTTTACATGTTTTGTAGACAATATTAAGCAACTCGAAACAGCATATTGGAAAAAGGTATGCATACACATTTTTGTATCCTTGGTTGGGAACTGGCCTACTTACTAGTGAAGGTAACGTAGTAAATCTAACATAATTCTTATTTCTAATATATAAAATATTTTGAATTGGAAGTATATAAAATTTGTATTCTTTATTTCTCTTTATTTATATTTATATAAATTTTGTATTTAAGTGCTCATAATTATAAAAAATTGAAAATTAATCTTAATATAAAACTAAATACTGTCATTTTTAAATTACAAACATACTTTGTCTTATAAAATATCGCACACCTGCAAAAAGAGTAACACAAGTTAAACAAACAAAATTGTTCAGAAGAGAAGAAAGAAGGAATTGCGTTAATAATAAAGTTTCCTATTAATAATTGTTGGATCGAGATAAGGAATCGATATAAAAGATCGAAAACATAAAGGCTAATTTTGAAGAAGCACACATCACCATTCAATCACGCGCTTAGATCGTCGATATTATGTATTTGTGTACCTGAGCCGAGCTGAGTTCTTGCTCAGAAGCCGTCGGTAAGAGGTGCGCTAATACGGATAGATTCAGATAGATAACGTGTAATTAGAAATCGTTGTCTTTAGTTATATTCGTTTTCTTTTATCAGTGTTATAAAAGATATTATATGTACGTGAAGCACATTGTGATTTTATAAACTGTTTAAAGAAAAATTTACTGTTTGGTAATATTCTCTTTTTAAACTCCTTTCCACACGAATAAGACTAAATCCCAACAATAATATTATGAATTGGTTTTTATCTCAAATTCTGTCGCAAATTATAAATCGTCTGAAACAAGCTTGATTTTAAGCGGAAAATAATTTCACATGTCTATGTTTGATTTCACTATTATTTTAAAATTAATTATTTACGGCAGTATTAAACATAGCCGACTCACGTGGAAAGTATTTGAATTCAACTTCTATCACTTTTTCTGATCAAAGACCGATGCATTTAGAAAACAATCTGCATATAAAACAAAATTCAAAAAATTTCGACTTTTCTTGCGGGTGTGCGATATATGATATGGAAAAAAGTCACTTTTTAGTCAAATTAAAATAGTCAAATTTTTTACCTAAAATATAAATTTTAATTATTTAATTTATAAGGTAGGTATTACGGCAAATATTAGTAATTTAGAGTGTTATTGCAATAAAAGAGGATGTTATCTTATTTCTATTACTATTGTTGTGCCTCTTGGTGAAGGCACGGGTTCGGGATCTGCCGAGGAGTTGGGTTAGGCCGGGAATCCGGAGAATAATTTCTATATATCATCCTTCAAATAAAACGTAGTTTCTATATATTTCTTGGTTGCTTGATTTTTACAAGTTTCCCTTTTTAACAATTAACTAAGTTCCGTTTCAGGAATCTTTATCTTAGCTTAGTTTTCACGGAGCCTCAGGTTACACTTATTCGTTAGCTATTTACTACAATTCGCGATCTTCTTGATTCGTGTCCCGAGGGACATACGTCCGTCCCGTTTGGTTGTTAATTTTCGATCCGCCGTCGTGGTCTTGCGACGGCGATTTTATAATCGCGAAACTGCAATTGATTACAGTTTTGAAGAGCTTTCGATCGAACGTGCTGACGGATTTCTGGTAGTTTGTCAGCGTTCTTACGTTCGGAACGAATTAGGTTTCGATTTACGCTGCACGATTCTCCGGTGACTCGTACGAGCCGGAAACGCACTGAATTGTCAGCGTTCTTATATGATATTATGTAATATATATTCTTATACTATTTTATTAATTAAAAATTGGTTGTGGTTCTCTGGACCTACAACACTATTACAGGAACGAAATGGCATGAAAGAAGAAAGATGCTTACGCCAGCATTTCATTTTAATATGTTGAAACAATTTGTTGATATTTTCATTGAGGAAGGCAATTATATGACGCAATGTTTGAAAGATATTGAAGGATCGACTGTTAATGATTTAATCTTCTTTACTAGTCATTATACGTTGAATGTAATATGTGGTACGTCAGTATATATTTACAAAAAATTTCTTTTGACGTAGATTTAATTGATTAAACTTTGATTATAATTATAATTTTGAAATTATACAATATATAATAATTAATTAATTATAATAAATATAAAACATAATATATTATTATAATATATTACAATTTTGTATTAATTATACTTAATCTTTGAGCATTGATAAATTTTCTTTACACTATAATGTGTTAGATTGTAACTTTTAATTGACAGATTATCTTAAACTATATAATAATTATTGGTATATAAATATAAAATTTATTATGATTGAAATAAAAATCGTAATAAGTATTTATATAACTTTAACAAACAATTTAGAAACCGCTATGGGAATTTCTCTGAAAGATATGGGCGAATTTCAACAACAGTATCGCAAAGCAGTTCATGAAATCACTAAACTGATCATGGCTAGGTAAGTATGCAATGCAACTTAACAATATGTATAACTATTTGCAACAATACATTTAAAGATATTCGACATTTTTGGAAGGTGTTTGAATATAAATGTAATATAAAGTTTTGATTAATGTTTTATAAAAATATTATTGTGTGACTTATAGAATCACTTAAACTTATACACAGACTTTAAATGTAATGCTATTGTTTCCTTAAGTAATATAATATAATTATGCACGTAGAGGAACGAACCCGTTGTTTTATCCTAATGTGATTTTTGCATTTTCGTCACTGTGTAGAAGACAAGCTAAAGTTTTAAAAATATTGCATGGATTCACCGAGAAAGTGAGTGAGAATCACGCATTATTTAAATTGTGCAGAATTTTTGTGTAAATAAAGTTATAATAATATCTTAATAAAATTAAAACAATCTAATTTATATGCCAGCAGCACATTTAGTAGCACAACAGTATAAATGATGAACGAATTAATATTCTTTTTCTTTAGATTATTGCGGAAAGAAAACAATATCACAAAAGCACTAATGGGCAATATTTGAAGCAATTTGAAAATAATTCAGTAAACGATGATGAAGAAATAATAGGAAGTATGAACTTATAGACACATGTACACGGAGAAAATTTTATATCAAAAATTACTATGTACGACATTAACCGCGGACCATGAAGCCGCGGACCAAAAATTTTTACTATGTTTCACATATGAAAAACATAGTAAAAGTTTTTATAATTTCTTTATAGCCTTGGTAGAAATTCACTCTGGGCCTTATTATGGCCCCGACTAGCTCGCCAGTCATCAACTCGGGCGTGATACTGGCGAATTAGTCGGAGCCACACACGAAATCATCATAAATGGCTGTGCCAGCGCCACAGATTCACCGCAATACTGGGGCGACTGGGGCTGTGGATTGGCACTAATTTTCTTAGATAGGCTATGATTTGGTAAATAAGTAAGGCCCAAACTTTTTTTTTCTTGGTGATGTGATTTTGATATATATAGCAGAGAGGTTTTTATAAAACAGCTTTTAGTTTTGAGACTTTATTCCTTCTTGATAAAGGTACAGCACGCAAGAGAACAGAGAGAGAGTATCGATAGTAGCGAAGCATATATATGTACGGAAAAATCATGCACTCGTGCAGGCACATAGCAAATAAAAAAGGAAACAAAAGAAAGTGCGGGAAAATACAAATAAAATGAGCAATCATCATGCACTATAATGAATTGTTGTCTCTCTTAACACTCCGCCTCAATTTAGTATAGTCCTTGACACACACACACGCCAGCATAACTGCACTCAATTATATACCTTTAAGTGTTTTTTTTTTTTAATACATTTCAATTACGCAGTGAACACATAAGATAGGTCTACAAGAACAAAAAAATGAAAGAAAAAAAAAACTCAAATGGTTCGCATGCCCAGGCTACTCCTGTTACTCACAAAATGTTCAAGAGTCAATCCCTTCGTCAAAATATCCGCCTTTTGTCCTCTCGAAGGGATATATTTTACATCAATTATGCGTTTCTGATACATATCTCTTACAAAATTATACTTAACATCTATGTGTTTGAGTCTACGATGCTCCCATTTGTTTAATAAATGAATACAAGATTGATTATCTTCAAAAACAGTAATCGGTTCATTAATTTGCACATCTAGATCATGTAATAAACCCTTAAGCCACATTAGTTCAGTTGCCGCACTTGCTAGAGCGACATACTCTGCTTCTGTGGAGGAAAGTGCCACTGTTGATTGTTTCTTTGTTGTCCATGAAACAGTAGCTTCAAAAACTTCAAACAGATATCCTGAGGTTGACTTCCGATCCAAGTCTCCCGCCCAGTCGGAATCTGCGTATCCAACCACGGGCATTTTTCCATCCTTTTTGAAAAATAGACCCAAATTGATAGTTCCTTTAATGTACCTTAGTATACGTTTTAAACCAATCCATTGTGTTTCGGTTGCATTGTTCTGAAACCTGCTGTAAAAATTGACAGCTGCACTTAGGTCAGGTCTCGTTGTCAGCATTACATACATGAGACATCCAACGAGTTCTTTGTATGGTTTTGTATTAACAATACAGTCTCCATGTAATTCTTTCACAGGATTAGTTTCCATTGGTGTTTTGGCTATTTTACAGTCTTGCATATTGAATCTCTGAAGAAGATTCTTCATATACAGCTCTTGACTAAGTAACATTCCCTTATTAGTTTGACAAATTTTTATTCCTAGAAAACATTTCAATTCTCCAAGATCTTTCATTTTAAACTCAGTCATCATGACTCTCTTGATTACATTTATTTCATGTAATTCCTTTGCTGCAACAATAATGTCATCAACATATAAAAGTACATAGACTATATTGTCTCTTTTTTTTCGTTTATAAAGACAATTATCATATACTGATTGAACAAAACCTAAATGACTTATAAATTTGTGAAATTTGATATTCCATTCACGAGGCGCTTGTTTCAAACCATATAATGCCTTGTTTAATTTGCAAACTAATCCTTGATTCTCTATAAGTCCTTGAGGAGGCTTCATATAGATTTCCTCTTGTAGATCTCCATGCAAGAAAGCATTTTTAACATCGAGTTGATTAGCGAATAAATTTTTATAATTAATTATGGCAAGTAGGGTTCTTACAGTTGTCAATCGGGCCACAGGGGCATAGGTTTCATTGAAATCGAAGCCTTTTTTTGTGCACATCCCTTAACTACAAGTCTCGCTTTACGCCTTTCAATGCTTCCATCTTCATTGTGTTTTAATTTAAACATCCATTTATTCTCAATCACCTTTCCTTCAGGTGGAGGTTTTATGAGTGTCCATGTCTTGTTCTCCTTAAGTGCTCGTAATTCCTCATTGACAGCTTCGAACCATTCCTTTGCGTCGCTTCTATTCTGTATTTCCTCATAGCTTCCTGGAACATCTTCAACAAAACTTTCGGCATTAAGTGCAAACGCACAGTAGTCATCCAAATACTTGGGTTTAATTTTTGTCCGTGTTGAGCGACGAGGTGATTGGACTGGCACATCTTCATTTTCAATGTTTCTTGTGACGTCTTTTTCTTCATCTTCCTCCATTGATTCGATGCAATCTTCATCTTCTGTCGCTCCGCCTTGATTTAACGGTTCTTCCATTGATCTTACTGAAACAACATCTGAATCGATTTCAACTAACGCTTTGGAGTTTACAAACTTTGTTTCTACGAATTTTTACATCTCTTCCTAATAATATTCTCTTACTCATAGGATTCCAGAATTGATAGCCATTTGTACAATATCCAACAAAATAACATTTTTCAGTTCTTGAGTCAAACTTTCCTTCAATTAGTTCTATGGGAATACGTACGTAGGCTAAGCATCCAAACACTCTCAATTTACTTATGTCCTGTTTTTTTCCAAACCATTTTTCCGCAGGAACACTATTTTCTAGAGCACTAGTAGGACTTCGATTAATAATATATATAGCCGCAAGAGCTGCTTTCGTCCATAAATATTTTGGAAGCTCTGATCCTAACAACATACACCTAGCTTTTTCTAGAATTGTTCTATTCATGCGCTCCGCAACTCCATTCTGCTCTGGAGTATATCTAATTGTAAATTCATATTGAATACCTTGTTCTTCAAAATAATCTTTCATTTCTGTTGAGAGGTATTCTCGCCCGTTATCACACCTGAATCTACTCACTTGTAAATTAAAATGAGCAGTAGCCATGGCTTCAAATAATTTAAAGAAACGGAAAACTTCAGCCTTTGCTTTGAGTAAATAAATAGCTGTAAAATGTGTAAAGTCGTCTATAAACGTAAGGATATATTTCTTTCCATCGTGTGATTCAGGTGTAATAGGACCCATTAAATCACTATGTACTAGCTGGAGTGGGCGTTTTGCTCGCACTCTTTCTTTATTGTGAGGTAACTTTACCTGCTTTCCTTCCACACACGTTTCGCAAGTTTCCCAATCTAGAGTTTTTGTATTAGTACTAATTCCATCAACAAGTTTCCAAAGTTTTTCAAGACCATTTTTACTTATATGACCTAAACGTTTATGCCATAGAAAAGCATCATTAACAGCTGATAGACAAGCTCGCTCATTCTCACTTTCTATCAATGCATTCAATCTATACAACTTACTTTTTCGTACAGCAACAGCTATTTTCTTATTCTCTAACATTATAGTAGCCAAACCGTTTTCAATAACAACTTTAAAACCATTAATTTCTAATCTAGGAATTGAGATCAAATTAAGCTCTAAGTTAGGAACTATTAAAACATTTTTTATTTTAACTCTAGTGCTTTTACCATTCACAAAGCAATCCATTAGAATATCGCCTTTTCTTTCAGCCAGTAAATATTCATTATGTTTTGCTATCTTAATTTTAATTGGCCTTTCCAAATTTTTAATGTTTCTAACATACTTATCACTATTCACAAGATGATCCGTTGCGCCTGAGTCCAAGTACCAAGTTATCTGGATAGCTTCTTTCTGGTTTGATGTAGAACAACAGACTTTGATGTCCTCTTCCTCTAGAGATTCTTTCAAATTATAGGCTGTGAAGCAGATTTCAGTTGCCTTTTTCTCTTCTTTTTCTTCTGTTTCTGCTTTGTACGCCTTATTATTACCAATATATGCTTTGTATGATTGCTGTGGTTTTTTGCAATCAGCTCTCTTGTGTCCGATTTTTCCACAGTTGTGGCATTCGAATTGAAAATTCCTTTTATTTGCTTGTTCTGTACTTGTTCCACTATTTCCACGGTCAGTGTTCCGCAAACCACCACGTTTACCTCGATTACCTCGAACAGAGGCATGTGCGACAAACGCTGTAGAGGAGTGCAACTGCTCTCCTTTTGACTTGCTGCGCCCCTTTACTAGACGCTTAGATTCCTCGTCAAGTAATCTGTTCTTAACGAAGGATAAATTCAAATCTGTTTTTCCAGCCATGGTCTCTATAGCTGTAACCACCATATCATACTCATTTGGCATAGTGAGCAGTAAATGACATATTATGTCATTTTCTTCAGCTGCAGCTCCTGTTGACTTGAGTTCCCGAATCATTCGATCAAACTTCAGGAAATGTGATTCCATTGTATCAGTGGCCGCGTTGAATTTTAATGTTAAGAGTGCCTTTCTGACTCTCAATTGACTAGCCATACTTTTCCGCTCAAAGGTCTCTTGCAAATAAGTCCATACCTCGTATGCCGTTTCCTTTCCCTTGCAGTATTCAAGATGGCTGTCAGCAATTCTTTGAATGATAAGTGACTTACATCTTTTATCATTTTTTATTTTTCTCGTATTTCTTGCTATGACCCTGCTGCGTCGTTTATACTCT